GGGGTGGGAATTACTACCCCAATTTTTTCCCACTTTCCTTTCTTGTTTCATGCTTAGCTAGCCTTTTCCACTTTCCTTTCTTTTTTACTGCCTAGCTAGCTCTATTTACATGTGTGCTTGCTGAGATTAGGATTAGGTTATGAGTTCTCTGTTAAATTTTCGCAAGAAGTCTTTTCCCGTGTTAGGGTTGTACCTTAAGACATGTGGTGCTCCGGTTGTACTCTGTTTGAGGTGGTGTCTATCCTCTTTGACTCCCCTTTCCATTCTCCTCCTTCATGTGTTTTTGTCGACCTCAAATTCCCCCTCTCCCTTCCGACAAATCGAGCCGATCCCTACCACTTCCTTCCCTGTAAACCTAGATGCCTGTTTCCACCCCTAACTTGCCGCTCTGACCACCAGCTCTCACCCAGTCCGCTGCTCCAGGTTGCTAGTCTCCCTCACCATCTCCCGTAGCCCAACCACCTTCTGCTACGCCGCCGGCTTGCTCCAGACTGTAGGCTAGCCTGCTGCCTTCTCTCCTTTTAGTTGCAACCCTTTTTCACACTCTCTCCCTATTCTAGCCACTAGTCCATCGTACATCCCACATCGACCCTCTCCTCCCCTTTCATTCCTCAACCGTGACACCCACACTACCGGTGTCCTCTGATTTTCCTAACCTACCCCTAGCTGGATATTGTTATTTGTCATGTTTTCGTTTTGTTTGAAGTTGTGATTGTAACCCTGCTCATTTGCTTAGTAAAATCTACTTCTGTTATTTCTGATTTAGTTTACTCCGGTATCAACGTGCGTAGGGTTACGCTAGTTCTGATACCAAATGATGCTGTAATTTACCAACCCGCGGTAAAGGAAGCAATTTTACTAAGCAAATGAATAGGATTACAAATACGACTGCAAAAAAAAACGAGAACATGACAAACATCTGAAAAAGGAGTGCTGAAGTGGGAGTGGGGAAGGAACAAGGAGTCAATTTTGGAGGGTGTAGGGTAGCTGGCGGCTTGGACAGGAGAAAAGGGAAAGGGGAGGTTGGTGGCTTGATTTGGAAGTGCAGTAGGGGCTAGCCGGTAGCTGGAAACAAGTCGGCTAGGTAAAGTGGGTGGCTGAGCTGCAGTGGAAGATGGAGGGCTGGCCGGTGGCCTGGAGCAGATCAGTTGGATGAAAGGTGGGTGGCTGGGCTACAAAGGAAGAAGGGGCTGGCCGGTGGCAAGGTATAGACTGGCTGGGTGAAGGTTGGCGGTGGGGCTACATGGAAAAAGTGGGTTGGCCAACAACAAGTGGTAGGGAAGGAGGTGAGCGAGGAAGAGAATTGGAGAGGATAAACATCACCTCGAAGCAAGGGACAGTCGGTGCACCACCTATCCTCGGATACAACCCTAGCAAAGGGAGAAAACCTCCAGGCAGAAATTTGAAATAAAACAAAACTTAATATAACCTTAAACTCAACAAATACACATATATATAGAAACTAGATAGGCGAGAAACGAAAAAAGGAGGGGCAGGGGGAGGGGAATTGGAGCAGTAACTCACACCCCATACAAGGCCGATCCTGTTTCTTGTTGGATCGGGATCTTGTCCTGGCCGGTTCAGTCGGCTATCAATCCCAGTGTGAAGTACTTCATTTGGAAAGGTTTAGGTGCTTGCGTAGATTGCTGGGAGAGGTAGGTGACGGTCTTAGGTTATCATAACCAAATGAAGATGTTGAGTTGGCTCTGTGTGGGGAGGCGTGGAGTGTTACAAAGTTTCAGTCAAAAAAGAAGCAAACTGTCTGTAATTGTTTCTACTCAAGCTCAAGCTTTTACTATTTTAATAATCAAGATGGCTACTATAATCTGCCATTTTATATTTCAAATCTGAGATCTTGTTTTCCTTGATATTCAAGAGTCTAAATGCCAACTCATTTGGTTTGCCAAATCTTAATTTAGTTATTGCCCTATTAAATTAATTAAGTCCAATTAAAGTTGATTGAGCTGAAACCTGATTAATCAAACTGAGTGATAAAGATTGGGTCGTGGCAAGACACGGTTATACAAAGATCACGATTACATAATTGAATGAAAACTGCGATCATGATGATATGCACTCATTGAATGGAGATTTTGATAATGTTGAATTGTGCATTATCGAACAGAGATCGTCATTGTGATGAAGCACATCATCGAACAGGGATATTGATTGTGGCAAGGCACGACTGATTGGAATTTCACTAGCTAACAACTCAATGCGTGTGTTGAGTAGATCGGGACAAATCGGTTGACTCGCTTGTGTCGAACCATGTGTGCTTGTATGTGCTAGACTTGACGAATGTGGTACCACAATCAAATTTTTAAAAACTAGGTAAATGTTGTACCACAATGATTGATTCAGGGTGGGGGAGGGGGGAAGGGAGGGGGTGGGGTGACTCAAAGCCATTGAAGTTGTTTGTGCGATTGATAAGCTTGTGTTGTGCCAAAAGAGATGAACTTAAAAAAATATAGGACCTTCACATTCAGTATTTTATGGAGTCCCAAATATCTTTGGGATGGCACATCCTCCATGTGCAATTTCCTATATTATCTCTGTTTTTGGTTTTTCAATAAGTACGATAGAATGGTGAAGAGGTCTAAATTATTACTAATTCATTTTACTTTTTTCTGCATTGCGAAGCTCAGAAACAGTGGGTGAGCTAATTTCATTAGTTTTCTGCACATTTGAATAGATAAAAGCACATTAATTAATACTTTTCAGTTCAAAATTAATGCTAATCCTAACTTGTTTCATAATCTATCATTGTTAAAATTTCTCTTTTGATTTACTAGTTTTAACACTTCCATCATCTTGATGGTTTTTTTTTTTTGAACTAAAAAATGATTTCCTTGATATCTTATAAAAAAGCTATATTTTTTCATAGCACAAGTTAAGTGTCAAAAATAATTACCCGATTATTTACATTTGGAAATTTTATTCCCAAGAATAAGTACTGAAATAGTCACTGTGAGGGCTATATCGGCCCTTATTAAAAGATTTTGGACTAATGTGGTTCTACAGTTACTATTGCCTCATCACTTCTTGAAGACAAAACCCATACGCATAGCTTCCCCATTCTGGACCACTAGAATGCCAACTGGCCCACTAGGCTTTCTCGATCCCCTCATTGCCATCCCCCCTCCATGTCGGAGTAAAGCCAATGTTTACAGTGCCACTCTTCCTTCCTACTTAGAGGACATTCATATTATTTTTATAAACGAGACTGGTGACCTCATAACTGCTATTGGCAAACAACTATAACATTGGGATATCACTGAAGTTGAAATTCAAGCCATTCTCTCCCTCCGCTAGCTGATTGAACCTTTGATGACAGAAAGTATGGGGCTCATTATTTAAGGTGACAACTCAAATGTTATTCATCACTTTACACAAGCCATGTATAGAAGCTATTTACAACAAAGAATGTAAGATTATCAAATTTTTACTTTTTGTTAAAGTTCAATAAAGCCATCTTCCAATATACTGATAGTGACAGCAACAGAGTGACACATTTTTTAATCATATAGCATTAAATAATAACTTTGTTCTAATGCCTGTAGAGCATCATTATCTTTTTATCTTTTGGTAGAAGATAGTCAACACATTGTAAATGCCTCATGGATTGTTTTGTACACTATTTTATAATATTTTGATATAGCAGTGCAAGATGCAAAATTTCAAGAAACTAAAATGATTCATTGTAAAGAGTCAGTGAACCATTTGACAATTTTCTTTATTTAACATTAATGCTATAGTAAACCTCGGTAAAGAAAATATGCAATATATGCTTGTGCTTGATGTGTTACTTTTGATGTACTTGTGCTTGCTCTGGAATCTTGATATGTTCTCATTGAAATACCTTCTAATTAGTTATTTTTTTTAGCTTTGTGGCTTAGTGAGCCCTATCTTAACTGAACTTTGAGAGTTTTTATTTTTATCATGCTAAAGGATGTTGTATTATTTGGGAGTTCCAAAATTTAAATCATCAGGTAAATGTGGTACTGCAATGACTGATTCGGGGGAGTGACACAAAGCCAATGAAGCTGTTAGTGCAAAGGATGAGCTTGTGTGTGTGCCAAAAAAGATGAACATCCAGAAATAAAGAATCTCCACTTCCAATATTTTAAGAAGCTCCCAAATTTTCTTGGGAGGGCACATCCTCCATATGAAATTTACTCGATTATCATTCTTTTTTGTTTTTTCAAAAGGTTTGATGGAATTGCAAGGAGATCTAAATTATAAGTTGTTCGTTTTTTTTTTATTTTTTTTATATTCGTATTTTACAAAAGTTTGAGACAGCTTGTGAGCTATTTTCATTAGTTTTCTACCCATTTGAATCGATGAAAGCAGGTTAATTTATACTTTTCTGTTCAATATTCAAGCTATAATCCTAACGTGTTTCATACTCTATTGTTGCTAAAAAATCTATTTTGCTTTACTAGTTCTCACACTATCATCGTCTTGATGATTTTCTTCTTTGAACTCAAAAATGATTTTCTTGATACCTTGTTGACAACCTATCTCTTCTCTATTATTTAGCACGAGTAAAGTGTCAAAATAATCCTATGACTATTTACATTGGGCAATTTTGTTCCAAAAAATAAGGGATAAAATAGTCTATTGTTGGGATTGTTCCAGCCCTTATTAAAGGAGTATGGACAAATTTGTCACATTTGTGTACTCTGGAACTAAAATGGCTTGTTGAAAAGACTCGGAAGATCATTTTGACGCTTTTCTCTATTTAATATTAATGTTGTAACAAACCTCGATAAAGAAATTAATGAATTATGCTAGTGCTTGAGGTGTAGCTTTTGATGTGCTTGTGCTTGTTTTGGAATCTTGAAATGTTCTTATTGAAATATCTTTTAATTTATTATGATGGTAGCTTTGTTGCTTTGTGACGCCCATCTTCACTGAACTGTGAGTTTTTCGGCTTTTTATCATGCTAAAGTTGGCTAAATTTATAGCTTTCATGTTGGGCTGGAATTTCATTTGTACAGGGTGTATCATTGGTGATGAAATTGATGGTGTTCCTGGAATTCAACACGTTGCTCCTGGATTTGGTCGCAAGACAGCCTTGAAGCTATTGAGAAAACATGGTTCTCTTTCAAATTTGCTTGGGGCTGCTGCAGTCAGGACAGTGGGAAGGCAGTATGTGCAAAATGCTCTGACTAAGCATTCTGATTATCTCTGGAGAAACTTTGAGGTGCTTAGCTTGAGGAGGTATTTGATTACTAAATCATGAAAATCTCAAAACAATCTTTTGCAGTATTGTTCCTGCATAGGTTGTCATTTTTTTCAATGAAAGCATTTCATTGTAAGAAACAATGATACTTTCTTTTTACTGTTTTCACACTTCTTCATTTTTTGTAGGAATGCTGAAGTTCACCTTAAGGAGGAGTGGCTATTGGAGAGAGACGTTTGCAATGATTCTACTGTCCTGTCGAGCTTTATCGAAGTGATAGATAATTCAAAAAGGCTCCAGGACAGGTATGCATTATCTTGTGGTGGTAGATTATCTCTTAGTGTTCACGTTAGGAAAGCTTTTGAAGTATTTAAAGCATCTGATGCTGTTGTCTTGAGCAATAATCAGCTAAATTCTTTAATCTGTTTTTCTTTCCTTGATTTATTTTTTGTGTCAATGATACTGAACAAGGGAAAACCTTTTGGCAGTTTAAGGTACTTAAGACGTCAAGAGCAGGAATTTGTTTCAAATGATTGACTAGGCTTAAGTTACCTCTCGAGCCTCCTTTGCAAAGGGATCACATTTTCATGCTCGTATCCTACAGCTCTGATTTTTTGGGCCAAACACTTTACTTTTGTTAACTTACATGAAACATGCCTTATTATTTGATTTAAATTAGATTACATGAAACATGCCTTATTATTTGATTTAAATTAGATGCCATTCGTAATTAACTTGTTCATTTGATGCAATACCCAAATTTTGAAAACGTATGAGTGCAAAATTTCCCAAATTACTTATACCCAAAAAATCTACGTTTCATGAATCATTGAATTGCATTCTACCCATTGAAACAATCATTTTAATATATAGGATTATATTCTAATTATGAAAAACGAGTAAGTTATGGAATTAATTTTCATTTTGATTAATTTTTTAAAAGTTTTTGTTTAATAACTCTAGTCATACACTGTAATAGCACTATAGTTAAACAACCAATCCTGATTTTCTTGCTTACAAAGATAAGCATCGGTTGATATTAATTGGGATGGTGGTGTTGTACTTTAAGAAATATATTTAAAAAATGGCATTTATATTAATTTGGTGAACTAAGTTAATAAGTGAAATTTTGTGATCATATTTTACTACATAGACAATATAAGAGTGAGCAATTTTGAGTTGAGGCATTTGATGGAGTTTATTTTTTGTTAAGAATTTTGATGTGTTTTAGATGCTCTATAGATGTATTTAATTGATATGTTTTGGATTGCTTTTGCATAATTTGAATAGTTTGATTTTATTAGAGTAGTGTGTTGTGTTGTTCTAGAAGAATTTAGGTGACTAAATCTCTCTTTTATTCTATTGAGTATTATATCAGAATAAGTGTTGAAGCTATATTCAGTAAGCCAAATCATATCCACCTCTATTATGTTTCACATCAATTTATGGACTGGTTGTTGTGGGGCATGAGAGAAAGTGATATAGGAGGACTTGAATTCTAAGTTTGAATTACAAATGCTTCATTGTATTTAGTGTAGTATGAAAGAAAATTGAATTTGATAGGATTATTATAGGGCATGAGTGTGTTTAGTCTTTTCAAGTGAAACATACTCAAAGTATTGTACTGCATATTTTATATAGTATAAATCACACTAATATGAAAATATGAATATTTTATGATATAATGATTCGTTGATGATATGGCTAAAAGAGTACCTAAAGGAGCTAATGGGTTGTTAGCATAGTTAGTCAGGGCAGTTAAAAATCTTGATAATTTGGCACCTTTTAAGGGTAATATGATAAGAGCACAGTCCACACAGATGCAAAAAATATGGCAGTAACACCCACCCCATTCAATTGTTATTATGTTAGAAAGTATTATGTAATTACAGACTTGGCAGGGTGGCCATGGAGCAATCACATACATGATCACGGTGTACACACTAGAAGGATCAAATTCTCGTGTGATTTGTGTAATCTAGACTTCGGTCCTTATGTTTTATGGATGTCAAGAGGTGGATTTTATGGGGAAGATAGTTCCCGAAGTTCTGAAGGTATTAGTCGGGCTCATACAGGGAGATAGCTTCTCGATGAGAGCCACTACCTCAATATGTGCTCTGATGCATGTGAAGCTAGATCACATTCCCGTGGATTTGATACTTGATGAACTGGCAATGTATTTGATTTGGTCTCGTTAGATCGAGACTTCTCTAGCAAGGTAGAGATTAGAGGGATATCTGATGGGGGTCGAGCTAAAGAGTGACAGTACCGAGTGGAATGAGTGGAGGACCACACCTTCCTTGATTTACACCTGGCTGCTCAACTCGATAGTTCCATCGATTGTCGCATCTGTAAATGGCTTTGAAAAGGTGAGGGACATCTGGGCGAGAAGTTGAAGAGATTATATGTTGGGGTTGAGAACCACATGAGCGTGTTCCAAATTTGATATGAGATAGAGGTAGTGGCACCAGGTGATAGATCGATTCGGGAGTGCTCCATAAATTTGGAGTGGATGTGGGCAAATCTTGTTCTGGAGATACCACCAGGATTCAGTATAGACCAAACAGTGGGCAAGGTGTGCAGGTTCACAAAGTCACTTAATGGCTTGAAGCAGCCTCCTCGAGCCTGGTTTAACAAGTTTAGAAAAACTATGGTGAGCATAAGATTCAACAGATCAATGCAGACCATACGATGCTCTTCTGACAATATAGAGGTCACACCACTGTGCTTGTTGTGTACGCTAATGATATGATTGCCACTTGTTATGATGAAATAGATATTGTTTAGCTAAAGTTAAGATTGAGCAAATTATTTGAGGTGAAAGATCTTGAATAGCTCAGATAATTTCTTGGGATTGAGATAGTCCCTGGATCAAAAGGGATGACCTTGTCTCAGAGGAAGTATATACTGGATCTTCTCACGAAAGCAAGTGTGCTGTGATGCAAGCATGCAATCTCTCTAATTGATCAGAAGGTCAAGCCAAATGCAGAGGTAGGCGAGTCAATTGATTGCGAGAGATACCAGAGATTGGTAGGTTGTTTGATCCATCCTAATCACACTCATTCTGACATCTCATTTGTAGTGAGGTAGTGAGCAGCTTCACGAATGATCTAAGGGACATATGAACATAGGGTACCAGGTTTTGAGGTACCTGAAGAGTGCACCAAGTAAGGGGTTGATTTTCTGGAAGAATATGCATGTAGTCCTTGAGCGCTATTGTGATTTTGAATGTGCGAGTTGTGTTGATGACAGAAGGTCCACATCAAGATACTGCATGGCCGTAGGGGAAAATTTGGTCTATTGAAAGAGCAAGAAACAATCGGTAGTAGCTAGGTCAATAATAGAGACAGAGTATAGGGCCATGGCCTTAGAAGTTGTCGAGACGATGTGTTTAAGAGCCTTTTTGGTAGAGCTCAAGGTGGACCAAGGAACTTAATTGAAGTTGTGGTGCACAACAAGTCAACAATCAACATTGCCAACAATCTGGTCCAATGCAATGAAAACAAACATGAGGAGATTGATATGTTCTTTATCAAGGAATGCTGAATAACGGATTAGGGAAGCAAAGTCATGTAGCCACTAAAGAGCAAGTGGCTGACTGCCTCACCAAAGGACTTGGCTCTTTAGATTTGTTTAGGTTATGTGACAAGATGGGCATAGTGGATATCTTTTGCCCATCTTTAGGGGAGCGTTGAGATTTGTAACTAATTGAGGGTCCTATTGGTAAGTAAGGAATATTGTAGAAGCGTAGGGATTTATTTGCAAGAATATTGTAAGGCTCTATATAAGCCCAAGGCATTGAGGATAGAATAAGTTTTCTTAGAGCAATTATTTCTTTTGGGCTCAGAGTGGTGTCAGTCTCATTATGCAAAAAGGAGAAGGAAAGAATATTCTGAAATGTCACTATGTTATCAAGGTGTGAAAAGTTATGAGTAATTATTTCAAGATTGAATATCTGACAACGGCTTTATATGTGCTTAAAAATATAAATATTTAATACTGCTGCTAAAAGATTTAATTCCTTAGCAACGACATCAAAACTTAATAACGGTTATAGATTCGATAAAGATGCATATATAAAATTTTCAATAATGGTAAAGTCACACTTATCAACGCAAGTATACGTATCACTCAAGTAATATTGGGCTCTAATGGAATCCTATATATCGATCCCATAGGGAGTAATATTAGAATTACGAACTAAGATTTTAGAAAAGCAATACTTAATCGCAACAATGAAATTCAAATTGCTTATCTGTGACTAATAGACAATTGAAATAAATATCTAATTTTGATAACTCTTAAATAACTAATTATATTAATAATGTTTTTAATGTGATATTCAATATATAAGAAAGCATTATTCTCCTTACCAAGAAATTATAGTGAATGGATAAAGTGAGTCAGTTCAAATTGTACTGTGTCAAATAGGAGCATACCTATTCTTTACCTTTTGTTCCAGACATAAAGAACATTGACTAATCCTACGCTTGTTTACTGAATTTGCAGCTAGGCTGGGAGGATACCGGCTCCCACTTCAGAGCTCTCACGTTCCCCTCGCCTGAGGGCTAACATCTACACTTCAGCACCCAAACTATATGACCGAATTGGGGATTTTAGTCTGTCACTCTAAAATCTCCAATTCTACGCCCGATAATTTTATTTCCAAATCAATTGGCCAGATTGAAAGTAAATTAAGATCGAAGTGAAAAGATCATCACAATTTCTTTAACATTTTTATGGCTCAACCAATTCAAATCACCATTTCACAAATCTCAAGACAAGGAGAAAGACAGAGAAAATTACTCAGAACTCATGGGGAAGACACAACAAAACTCGGACATCATATATAAAAGCAAAGTCATACAACTACAACAAGTAAATAACACTTCTCTAATTTCTACCCAAGCAAACTTCTTAAAGTTCCTCTAATTCTCTTCCTTTCTTTACAACACACATAATTCCTCTTCAAAGCGGCAAGGAGGAATAAATCTCTCACTTTCCCTCCACTCTTACAATTTCTCAAAGAATTACTCTCAATTAGACTCTCTACACTTCCCTAACACTTAACTCACTACTCTCTCAATGCTTCACCCATTTCTATTTTTGGCCAAAAGCTTCTTTCTAAAGTTGTGGATGAGTTTTCCCAAGAGTTGCCTAAGCATCCCTCCAAAATTCGTCCTCATCCAATGCATTGTTGGACATAACCGCCGATCTCGCCTTCGGCAGCCTCGAGGGCGCCGTCTGCGGGCCTTCTACATTATTAAATCTGGAGTCTCGGGAAATTCTCGCCGTCGGCGTCGTTGAGCTTGCCGTTGGCGCCCTAGCTCAAATCTTCACATTTTGATCCTTTTCGCTCAAAATTCGCTCCTTTTTGCATCTTTTTGCTCCAATGACCCTAATTCATCATTCCTGTACAAATGACCCTAATTCATCATTCCTGCAACAAAACATCAAAAATACATTTCTTTAAAGTGCAATATCATCAAAAACAGTGTAAAATATGTATGAAAATCTCAACATATTTTCCTTTGGTTAATATCCTAATAATAAATATATCTCTCTAGATGATTGTTTGGATAATTGGAAGTTATTTGAACAACAATGGGCACATTTGGAAAATATGATATCATTTGTGGTCTGGTGGTTCTTATGGATGGCCCAAAACACTATTAAGCATGAGATTTTCAACTTAGAGCATGATAAGCACTATTTAATATAAGAGCTTGCATCAATATAGTGATTAAGT